ATAATTTTTTCCAAGTTTTTCCATTTCCTAACAAATGGGGCAATGCCATTCTTTCTGATGGAGGCATAGAATTCCATTGTGTATATATACCACATGAAAATGGGCATTGCACAGGGGAGAAGCAACCAATGGAGACCACAGGAGGAGACACCACTGCCCAATTAGCTTTGTTCCCTTTCTTGCCACTAGGTGCATCCCAGGCTGGCTGTACTGGTGTGGCACAGCAGCTGAGACCCTTGTAATGTCAAGCTAATTGGGCAGTGGTGTCTCCTCCTGTGGTCTCCATTGGTTGCTTCTCCCCTGTGCAATGTCCATTTTCTTTTCTCTGAACAAAGCAATGCAGTACAGGCATAGTGGCTGAGGCACTATTGTCTTCCTTTCAGAAACAACAAAGGAAGGCTGAGAAGGGACTCAGTGGTTGAGTACTTGCCTTGCATGCATGAGGCACTGGGATCAATTCCTCAGCACCACATAAACAAACAAAAAAACTGCAAGTGGCACTGTGGATCAAGTGGTAGAGTGCTAGCCTTGAGCTGAAGAGCTGAGGGACAGAACCCAGGCCCAGAGTTCAGGCCCCGCTACTGACGCCCCGCCCCCCAAAAAAACAAACAACAAAGGAAATCATCCTTAGGAAACAAAAACCCATGTACAATAGACTAGTGGGTAAAAGATTTCTCAGGCTGAAGGAACTTTACTCAGTATAAAATAAGTCGAAACAGAGGAAATAAAAAAATCAAACACAGCTGTTCTCTTTTCTTTCTCCCTGTGTTGAGCAGAAGGAAAGGATTTTTCAAGTAATTAAAAAAAAACAGCTCTAGCACTTTATTGTCCTGCTGCAAAGACAGCCTCCACCACCCTTAGATTTCTTATTGTTCTATCGTCCTGAATACATGTAATTATTCTAGGTCTGGTATTATCTGTTCCACACAAACAGCAGAGTATCTTTCTCAACTTTTGTCCTATACCACAAGGATATACCAAAAATAAGCATCCACAGAATAGGAGGAATTGAAAGGATGCTTC